TTTCATCCTAATCGTAATTGTTCCCGTTAATTTAGCCCGTCAGGCAACGTTTCATAAAAAAAATATTCTCGATCGCAATTCTTACTCTTACTATATATTACATATATACGTAAGTAAAAGTAAAAATATATATTTAATTTGACAGCTGAATTTGTAAAATAAATGCCCCTTTAAAAATTATGTGTATTGTAAAATTAAATTTATATAGTACAAAAATGTACTTCTGATCAACTCAATTATGACAATGTTGAAACAATGTACCATGCCGTAAGAAAGTCTTAGAACTACCCTAACTTTTATAAAAAAGATATATGTTTCAATTTAGAAGTGTTTTTATCTTCATAATTGTAAACTGATTTAACCATACGGACTTTGTAGACGCACTATACATTTAAATTTGCATTATTTTTAATTAACAACAAGCCGAGAAGCAAATCCGTGTTTTAATTCCCTGAATAAAATCATAACTTATCGTTTAAATGTCACTACTTAATTATCCCCATCAGTTTACTCTTTATTGTTAACGTCTAGGGCCATTTTATAAACTCTAAAAAGCTGGATGGGTCAGTGGAAATTTTTCTTAATATTGGAATTATTCGCTTGATGAGAATAGATAAAAAACTACATGAAAAACGGTACTATAGCATTTTAACAAACCATACAATACCATCTGGGTTTAAGCAGATTCGGTAAAACTTTTTTTAAGCAATATAACGATCGAAAATATAATATTTTGCCATTTTCTTAAATAAAAGTACCATGAAATTGAAAAAAAAAAAAAAAAGAAATATGGAATACCAAATTAAATTACCGAAAAAAAAAAAACGAATAATTCTAATATTAGAACAATTTTCTCAGATACACTCAGCTTTCTATAGTTTATACAAGGGATCTTGACTTTAACAATGTAGAGAAAAAACTGAAGTGGTGGATAAAAAAGTAGTGTTTTTAAACAATAACGTAGCGATTATACAATAGTAAATCTTCTATGCCTGTAAGGTTAAATCTGTTTATAGATAAAAAGTTAAAAACACTTTTAAATTGAAGCATTTATAATTTTTATAAAAATAAGATTAGTTCGAAGACTTCTTCACACCACTGTAATTCACACGGTTAAATCATGCTCTAGGATGACACTAAGAAAATCTACTAAAACAGAAAAGAAAGGTAGTATTCGGTTGGCAAATAAGTCCTTTCGGTTTTTCTGTCACTATGACACACTTCTTATTTGATAAATTAACTCCTAAGATGGATTGTTTATCCTGTTTCTAATACGTCAAGAACCATATCTGTTAACTCTTTTAGAAACTAGCTTAGTATTATTTTCGCTATAGCACAGTGAATATGGAAGAAAATATCATTCATTATTGGCATATTTTAGTGTATTATTTTAAAAAAGGTAAGCGTGCTGCAGAAGCTTATAGAAAAATGTGCAGTGTTTATGGGGATGATGCCTTAACCGAACGCAACTTTCAAAATTGGTTTGCGAATTTCATTCAGGAAATTTTGACATCAATGATGCTCAATAGTCTGGTCGCCCACATGAAATTGAAACGAGCAATGTTAAGGTCATTGTTGATAAAAATCCCACCCAATCAGTGAGAGAGACCGCTATGGCCCTAATGTGTAGCACACAAGCGTAGAAAACCATTTTCACAAGCTCGGATATGTTTTCAGGCTTAATGTTTGAGTCCCTCAAATGATTGTTTTTCGAAAATCACAAAAAATGTTATAGCTTCAATACGACTTTACTATCTACAAGAAATTTAGCAGGAATTTAGGGCCACATAAACTACACAAAATGACATCAACTTGACCTTCGTAAACAAACTAAAAATGGATATAAAAACCTATAAGGAGTTTTTGTTTATTTATTCCTTATGTAGGCATTAAATAAAAAAACAAAACATACATATGTCTTTGAAGAACAATAATTCATCTTTCCAACGGATATAGTAACATCAAATTTGGAGAACATCCTGAAAAGTTATAAATGATTGGAAGGGTGTTGTGTTCCACCAAGACGGCGCAAGGCCCCACACTTCATTGCCCTATTCACCAGACCTAGCTCAAAGTGACTTATCACTTATTCCAGTCTCCAGTCTACAGAACTCAATGAACGGAAAGAAATTTCAAAAGGAAGAGAACATCAGAAATTATTTCGATCAGTTTTTTAACAATAAACTCCAGACATTCTATGAACATGGCAATCATTGGAAAGATGAAAAAAAGTATTTAATAATGATCAATATATTGTAAATTAAAATGAATTTTATGTCGATAATCCATTGAAATGAAATGAAAATATATTTTATTATTCTGGGACTGTTGTCCCTTTAGATCAAATAATAAGTGCTGAATACATGTGTAAGTGGTCATTGTGTGTTATTTCGCCCTGAAAAACTGAAAGCACTTATTTGCCAACCCAATAATATAACTGGTCTAATTTATTTCACAACTGAGTATTTAATACACATAAGAATTCTCTATAATAATGTATTATACTTTTCATTAAACACTTTAGTTAACTCAGGCATAAATTTAGTATAGCTATGTCTGGCCTTGACACTGCACTCGCGTAACAATTCGCGTGTGAAGTAATTTAACTGAAACATTAGTTCCAGCAGAGAAAGGTCGTTCAACGTTTTAGAGAGCCTGCAGAAAATGTACTATGGGGTTTTTGAGGTGCAAAAAATAATATCAAATTTGTTCCTCCTTACATATTTACCTTCACATTGCTATGTTGGTGAGTAAAATTTAGCTTTACCTACGTAGAAATGAGATGTGGATATTTTTTTATAAACAAAAACAAATTTTAAAACAAAAACAAATTCTATATTCGTTTATAGCACCACAAAAATAAATTTTTATAGCAATTGAAAATTATGATTTTTTTTTCTTTTCTGAAAATAAATGTTTAAGAAAATTAACTTCCAATGCTCAAGGTAACAGGTTCGAATCCTGACTCATGGCAGCAAATTATTTAATCTGTTTCCTTAGCCTTGAGGCTATCCTGGGGTCGGTAGACCCTCCTGGGGCACAACCAGCCTCTATAAAGTTAGTACTCTTAATTAAATAATTATTTAAGGGGGAAAACCTCGCGATTGAGCGTGATCTCGGTCAAATCACCTCCATGCACAACCGTTGACAAAGAAACTGGACTTTTCCTAAATAGTACTGAACCCACCCAAGACCCTTCTTGGTTTGTGGTATTTTTTTTAACTCATTTAAAATACTATCGGCAACCTTTTCTTATTTTATAAAAAACATAATAATAAAAAAAAAAAAAGCAGTTAGTATATAATATCCACATATAAAATTCTACTAAAACAAAACAAAAAACAATGACAAATATTTGTTTAAATTATTGGAAGTTGATTTTTTATCCGGAAATTTTATCTTTTTTACTTTCACTTACGTATATATGCAACATATAGTAAGGGTAATTACTTTCACTTACGTATAAATGTAATATATAGTAAGGGTAAGTATTGCGATCCTGAAAATTTTCGAATCTCAGTTTTCAACGGAAATACATGTTTTGAGGTCCCTTAAGTTCAAATAACCAAGTGTCGCAAATGGTGCGTGTGCGTGTGTGTGTGTGTGTGTGTGTGTGTGTGTGTGCGTCTGTCTGTCTGTCTGTGTGTGTGTGTGTGTGTGTGTTAACAGTCTAGCTCATAAACGAAAAGTAGTACGAAACTGATATTAAGTATTTAAGGTTTGTATATGGGCCGGATGTGACAGCAACTTTTTCGTTAAAATTGGCTAACCGGAAGTGCCACTTTATATGAACGCTGAAACACATTTTTACAATTTTCTCAAAAACGACTCTAACGATTTTGATCAAACTCAGTGTATCATTGTATAATTAAGTGGTCTTTAATATCATTTAGGTCTTATCCCCGTTGATGTCACTTTACAGGGCTTAAATGCCCAATGTTCATATATGTCTTCCTCTAAAGTACCTTTAATATGGTTTATTTTAAACAGTTAACCATTTCGCATTATTCAGAGTTACGAAAAAATGCTACATATAACTTTTGAAAGAATTCGATAAATTAATAAAGGGGAAAAAAATAAAAATGCAGAAAAACCTGCGTTCCTACAAACTGTAGCGCCTAAACGAATGTACCGATTTCAATGAAACCTCGCTAGTCATTTTCTCCATATCCTTTAAATTTATCTATATAACATACTTCAACGAAAAGAAGCTGAAAAAAAAGTGACGAGGGATGTTAAAATTAAATTCCGAATAACTCAAAAAGCATACGCTTTTTTGGTGATATTGCATATGTTTTTTTAAAAGTTTATGAAATTTCCTAAAAAAATCGTTAAAATCGGACAATTAGGAGGAAACATATGGTCTATTTGTTTTTCCTGAAGAGGTGAAAATTTGGATAATTTTAAAATATATTTTTTTAATTGTTGAGACTAAAAAAACCTTTTTTCTACAGATATTTAATAAAGTGTCTTTCCTAAGAACATCTTGCATAAGAAGACTTTTATTCTCAGTTCTATATTTAAAAACTGCAATCACCACCTATTGAATCAACATACTCATTCTCTGCATAGATAACTTTCTCAACTAAAAATATCACTAAAATGACATCACTCAAAAATGTTGAAATTGGAGTTAGTCATTCTGTGGTTTATAAAAGCAGACAGAGGGAATAGATTTTTATTGCCTGTCGTCGATATATTAAATAGACATTTTGTAATTATAATGGTCTTAATGACTTGTTATCTGTAAGCTTTAGCTCCGTTTAAAATGCACTTTTTATAATAGCCCAGCATTGCCAGAAAATAATTTCTATTCAAAGTAGATCGGTAAGTGAAAGTTGTGTGTTGCGCGCACCAGATTTTTTTATGTTGGCTTTATGATGATTTAGGTTCACAGTATTTTTTTTTTTTTTTTTTAAGAACACAGATATTTGGTTGACTGCAAAAACTGATACCCTAACCCGATTTAATACCCAATGAAATAAAATTATTGTATATACCTTGAATCGTCATCTTCTTTGACAACTGGTGAAGACGGTGGTTCTTCAGGTATGGGAGCGGGTGCTGGGACCGGAGGTTCTTCCTTCCTGGAGAGCCAAGAAGACACTGAGGACATCTGACTCTTCACAGAGCCGATCAATCTGCTACCTCCTGCACTGTAAAACCATATATCTATTAATATTAAATATTTGAATGGCATATTATTATTTCTAATAAATAGCATGTAAAAATATATATGTGACAAAATAAATAACACTAAACCAGAATTTCTTTTCACAACATGAAACGTTTAGTGGTATAAGGTGAAAATCGTAAAACTAATAATAATGAAATCAAGTCAATAATGCTATGGTGGACAATCATGTCGGAGCAACCCTCAGCCAATCTTGGGTTAAAAATGACAAAACGTCATTCAAGCTGAAAATTTCTATTTATTATCTTCGTAACACATTCATTCCTATGTACAATATTTACATTCGCCCAGATCATGGTGTAAGGTCTGGATGCGTTTGATATTCGAATGTTTAGCAGTTCATCACAGTTCAAGTCGGTAGGTCCAGATAGATTTCAATATGGTCGCAGCGTGAAAGTGATATGTTTGCATTTTCATTCATTGCTTTTGATGCGCCAGTTGTTGCACCACTGCTCAATCAAGGAGAAGTGGAACGAGTGTTAGCGATAGTGGGCTAATGCGTGTGCACAGCACCGCCGTTACCCGACAACCTGATATATGAATCAAAGATATAAAAATAGTCACGAGATCGCGTCCCGGTGCCGCGGGAGTCTTTTAAATCACCGCCCACACTCCCTGGCCCGAGAACACCCCGGATAGCCTTAACGGCGAGGAAGGGGAGGACCAAAAAAAATAAACTTTTTTTATTTTGTAAGCTTTTGACTATTGATGCCTGAAAGAAAAGTGAGTGAAAATAATAAAATCTAATCCACATCTAACAATGTTTAACTTTCCCTCTACTTTTAACAGACATTATTGTCTGACAAATTGGACTATTGCAAAAAAAATATTGATTATTAATGTTAGAGTGTATTGAATTCTTTATGCTGATCTTATACAAGCCAGTTTCATTGTTTATCAAAGAAATCGTACTCAAATCTTTTCTTTGATCAATTTTAAGAAAAATAAATCTAATTCAATTGTTCTTTTTGTTTGGTTGTTTTTAAAGGACACATTTAAATACATAATAACTATCAGAAATCGGTAGGGAAGTTGTGTGAATGGACACACCAGACTTAAATCATAATTTTTACAAATCCCCAGATAGTAAACAAAGAAGTTATAAATTGTCCTTAAGTTATAAATTCCATAGCAGTAATAACCTGGTGGGAGGTCTGATTCTACTGTTGCGCTGTGTATTCAAGAAATTTTAATAAATTTATAGAATTAGTAGAGTTTGGAAGAAGATACTTGTTCTAGAAAAAAGTAAAGAATTAGATTAGTTATAAAATTTTATTAATATCCAACCGTAGATTCCATTTTAAATAGAAAAAAATCCTAACGTAGATATTGTATCAAATATTTTATGCTCATATAAACAATGTTTAATTACAATGGATGTAGAAAGGACATATTTTTCTTTTAAGGACATACATCTTAAACAATACAATAAATAGTTTTTTAAAAAAGATAGGCAATACCTTAGATGTCACATCAAGTTTCCCCTTAAAATCAGCTAACCGGAATTGCCACTTAATATCAAGGGTGAAACATATTTTCACAATTTTTATTACACTCGGTATATCATTGTATAATTAAGTGGTCTATAATATAATTTAGGTCTTATCCGCATTGATGTCACTTTACAGAGCTTAAATGCCCAATGTTCATATACGTCTTCCTCTAAAGTACCTTTAATATGGTTTATTTTATAAAAATAACTCTATTTTATTGACAGTAACTATAAAAAAATGGCTAAATATGAAAGAATATGATAATTGGAAACTGGAGAAAAAAAGAAAAATACTTATCCAGGTTGAAAATGAATCTCGAGAAATAACAGTTCAGAAGGTATACGTATAATATATTGTTGGAAAGCGGAGACTTTTAGAAAAAATAATATCAAATAAATAAAGTTGTAGAAAGTAACGGAGAGTGAGGAAAAAAATATAAATAATAATTTCAGAAGACTAAAATTATTTAGCGTAAATCACATATTTCCAACTAAATTAAATGAAATTTCATCTTACTAATTATAATCATTTAAATGTTTTTCTAAGTTTGAAAAAAAAAGTATTTAACATTTACTCAATAAAGCAAATGAAATTGTTTAAAATACCATCACATTGCGCAAGTGTGAAAGAAGAAGTGAAATATAAAAATATTTCATGGATATGTTAAATAAATTTAATGTAGTTTAATAACTTTAGATGTGATATTATATTTAAATAATTAGGTATCCATCGTCTGTTTATCCATAATCATTCATAGGTAAAATATTCACATATACTTTTAAATCAAGTTTTCCAACTAGAAATATCACTAAAATGACATTACTCAGAAATGTTTAAATTGCAGTTAGTCATTCTGTCAACTGAAAGGTTCTGAGACCCAAGTTGTGTGGTTTATAAAAGCAGATGGAATTCCAGGATTTTCATAGCTTACCGCCGATATGATAAATAGACTTTTTTGTAATTTTAATGGCCTTACTGTTTTTGTTTTGTTATCTGTAAACTTCAAGCTTTAGCTCCGTTTAAAACTTTTTGGCTAGTGTAATATTTCTACAAGTACAAGGTGGTAAAGAGCAATGTTAAGCCTTCACGAACGTCATAAAAGATATAAAAAGTCGAGAAGGAGACTTAGTTACATTGAATCTTTGATAAAGGGAAGGACTAGGGACTAGGTGCAGTATCTTTAAAGTATGGTCCATACTGGAGCGGAACGCCGTGTTTACTTTGAAAATGACGCCATAAATACAAGATGGTCGTCCGCCATCTTTATATCGAGACATTTATTCTTTACCTTTCTACTTGAGTACTCGTACGCAAACTTTGCACGTAATATATCCAGTTTTGTATGAGCCGAAGAACAAATTTGATCCATTTCATTACTCTTTTTTTTTTTTTACTTCATTACAGTTTGTGAATGATAGATGAAAACTGACATATTGTTATCTACATTCATTTCTTATAATATTTATTATCCAGTTTATCAGCAATAAATTTATTACATGGTTCACTAAAATATTCTTTTAATATTAAAATTTTTATTAGTGGCGAATTAAGGAGTATTGAGGATTTTGGATTTTAAGGATTGGATACGTGAGGAATTCGGATGCTTAGTGAAGCCCCAGATCAATAGGTCTAACTGTAGTCATGTATATAAGTATTTTGTAATTAACTGAAATATTAAACCGTTTGTCTAGTAAATGCTAGAGTAGTTGGAAACGTCGAGCGGACTTGTCGTTTCAGTCTGGTATGAGGATTCCAAGTTAGACGTTTGTCCAAGTGGAGTCCAAGGTATCGGATATGTTCAACAGAGATAAGCGGAGTATTAAAGGATACTGTATGGCAGGACGTCAAGGAAGGGTAAAGGTGATTTGACGGTATTTGTTGGAATTTATTTTAATCCTCCAGTTTTTACACCAATCTTCCATCCAAACCCTCTCGTTTTTAGCCTTGCTTCCTATTCGATCTCTGAAAACTCTCCAAGGCGTCGGAAAAGAAGATGGCCTCGAGAACTCCTATTATAAATACATCTTTTTTTTTTTTAGAGTGCTGCCAGTGGGTAATTTCTCAAAAAGCGTTTTCATGTTATTACTTTCTGTTATAATATTTCCGGATTTTTTTTCTCTTAATACAGTTGTAAATATCATAAATAGAAATATATATATATATATATTATACTATAAATTTAAAAACCGCGTCTGCCCTGAGTTCTGGATTACGACCTCTGCTCTATATCTATTCTATATGATAACTTACATAACCATGAAATTAAATTATATTATAAAAAGTAAAAACTCCTTATGTCTGGCATGACTATAATCTTCAGTACGGTCGTAAATTTAACGGACCCGGTATCATGCCACAGTAACGACTTCAGCAATATCAGTACAGTCGGAGTGAATAAAGAAGATATTCATGAAGAAGAAATGCGGAATTGATATCCAGCCGATGCCGTTAATTATTAATTAATTAATAATGACAAGATTATATATAATCAAAATTTCCATGGTCCAATCAGTTAGGACAAGAACCAACAAATTTACTAAGTGAGAAGGAGAAACAGAATCTTAATGACCCAGATCTGAAAAGACCTACTTCTCTTTAAGGAGAAAATCGCTAAGCTCAATAGGGATGGAACGGTTGTGTAAATGATATTAAATTGAAACTGAAAAGGGACTCTTTCAAGAAAATCCTCAAAACGATCATAACATAACGCCAGCTTCTGAACGCAGGTAAAACTACGGCAGTCCTCTTTTAATACCTTTTCCTACTATTACTTTATTCGAATAAACTCCCACCTTACTTCAGCAACACGGATAAAAACCACAGGTCACCTTTGATCAAAAACCACAACCAGCACCTCAGATTCTATTCGAGGAAGAACTATCCAACTTTCTTCCTACACCTTCCATTATTTTTTTACAATTTCTACCATACAAACGTAAATAATGGAACTTTTTTGATAAGTGCGGAGAAAAATCAAGAGATTAATGCGTCATATGAAACCTCTATGGAGTAACTAATTCGTAAATTATCAACAGAGTCCGGGGATTTGTAAGCTTTTGCATACTTTGTTTCCATCCATTTTTTAAACATCATACCAAATATATTTGCGAAGTAGTGCACTAAATTTTATTTTACGTACCTCGTAATAACTTTATATAATTTCATATGTAGATGACTTCGATTAAGTAAAAACAAATAGATATAAAAATTAAAACAGATAAGATAAGATGAAATTCTATATCACAATCATGGGTTCATTTATTGGTATGAAAACAATAAACTGTACCAACCTAACAAGATCAAACAAAATAATTTTTAGAATTGATAAAAAATGTTGGATAAAAAAATTCTTGATCCGCTACTGAGAATATTCGAATATATGAATATTTAAGCTGTCATATTACATATTTTTTACTGAATATTTTACGGTTTTTGGTTTAATTATATGACATATTGTTTTGCTGCATAA